TTAAGTAAAGATCATGTCCCATGAAAATATTTTGTAAATTTCCTACAGTAAATATATCAAAACGTAATTTTTGATTAGTAATATATATGCATTGCTAAGAACTTCATTTGGACAACTTTAAAGGCGATTTTCTCAATATTTTGATTTTTTTGCACCCTCAGATTTTCAAATAGTTGTATCTCGTCCAAATATTGTCCTATCCTAACAAAGGAAAGCTTATTTATTGTTGATGTATAAATCTCAATTTCAAAAAAATGGACCCTTGTGACTGAGTTTGTGGTCCAGGGTCACATTTAGGTCATTATTTGAATTGGCTTTAAAGAGAATAGGAACTTTATTCGAAGTAACTATGAAAGCAGGAAACATTGATCGAGGGGACGAGAGTATCTGTGGGTTGTCAAGCTAAGGGAGAACGACAGCACTGGTTTTGCAGTGAAGGAGCATGATACAGAAGTCACTTGATCAACAGAGGCAGCGGCGGTCGCTCTTGGTCACCTCCTCGGATGAGTGCACCACGTTGGGCACGAAACCGCTCTTAACACCCTCCCAGCCCTCCTGGATGGTGATCTCACCACTTTTGACTAGGTCGTAGATATCGCGCGTCAGCTCCGTGAAGGCCCTCTCTACATTTATGGCGTCGCGGGCCGAGGTCTCCACGTAGCGCATGCCGTAAGCGGCTGCCAGTTTCTCGGCCTCCTGTTGGCTCACCTGCCGCTGCTGCTCCAAGTCACACTTGTGGCCCACCAGTATGAAGACAATGCTGTGCCGCTGCACGTGACTGCGCGCTTCCTCCAGCCACTCGTGGACATTCTGGAAGGAGCGGCGGTTGGTGATGTCGAAGAGCAAAAGGCCACCCACTGAATTACGATAATAAGCCCTTGTGATAGATCTAGATCACATACAGAGGAGAGCAGACGATATCAGACAGGTGGTTGAACACGTTAAATGTTACATCATATAAATTAACGGCTGTGGATGAGCGGTATTTTATATTCAAAAGGATGACTTAATTTGTATTAAATTACATTAAACGAGCATGTAAATACTTGATGGGAATTTATGCTAATAGCCTATAAGAAAGCTATAAGCAGAAAATGATCACAGCCTGAAATCCATGAATTTAGTGCGCGGGTTGAAATAGTTTAGGAAATCTATGTGATGTAGAGACTACTATGATGCTTATTTTTTTTGTCCCATTTTTTATTTAATGCAATTCATATGTACAATGACACACTATCATTGGCATGTTTTTAATTTATTATTTATTATTAAATTTATCTTTATAATCTTCCACTGAGACCAGATCTAGAATTGGAATTTTAAAATTTCAAATAGAAAATTCTATGGAAAAATTAGGTTTAAGAAAAGAAAAGTAGGCCTATTGAAAGTTTGAAGTCTAAAAATATCCAGATTGGGAACAAGATTGCATGTGAGGAAAATGTCAAAGTCTTTGTGTATATAGTTACAATAATGTGTAATAAGACGCATAAGCTTACATATGGATTTGGTACTAAGACAAAATACTTAACTGAGTAAATTATAAAAAGAAAGAAGAAAAACAAGGATTATCGGAGTGCATTTTACAAGATAATACTATTTAAGATATTCTACTTTAAATAAAAAAAGATATTCATGTTTAATTCAGTGTGTTATTCACCATTTCTTTGTTATTATTTGTGAAATTTACTACCCATTCTGAGTGAAAACTGTTTCTACACCAATTTTTTAGTGTAATAAGTGCACAGTAATGTTTCTTCTGTCAATGTACTAAAATGTTTTATTTGTGTTTAATGTCTAAGATTGCATGTATTGTCCTCTTATAAGGAAATGTTGAAATCAAATCAATGAAACTTACTTATTAAAAACTAACATGTAAGGCCATTCCAACATTTGGGGGTTTTTAAATAAAAAAACAAAATCATAAATGTATCTTCCTTCTTAAGCACGATGAAGTCATTAAGCAGCTGTGTTAATGTGTGCCAATAGTGTTTAGTTAGCTTAAGTAGCAGCAGGGGAGGGATGTCCTCATTTTAGAGAGCATTTGATTGGTCAAAAAATCTGTGTAGTGCAGGATGAGGCATCAATGTTTTGGCTTGTTTTCCTGAGAGAGAAAGACTATACATTTGAAATGCATTTATCTGCCAAAAAAAATTTATTTTGCCAACGTTTAGGTGTACGCTAGCATATAGAAAGCCTCAAAGCTAACAATCATAGACTAAAAGCCACAAATCTCCTATTATGAATTGTTTAGAATTACAATTAGAGAATGCATGTAGCTGCGATAGCTACATGTAAATGTCATCAAATGCCACTAGATGTACCTGAATCTTTCTTGGCCTGCCGTGTCCCAGATCTGAAGCTTGATGCGTTTGCCTGGTTCAATCTCTACCAGACGGGAGAAGAAGTCTACGCCGACAGTAGGATCAGACACCTGTGCAAAACGTCCTTCTGTGAAGCGTCTGATCAAACAAGACTTCCCCACCGTCGAGTCCCCAATGACAATCAGCCGGAACTGGTACAGCCATATAGCTTCCATATCTTATATGATCTGTCAATGAATAACAGTGTTTTGTTATTAGATTACACAGTAATAAATGTTTTCTGAGTAAACAGTTGAATAGTTAAAAAAAAAAGTTATGTAAACATTTACTTATCCTTGAATTTTCATTTTTGTATAGGCTATTATTCAACTCAAATACATTATTATTATTATTATGAAAGTCGTTTTTAAGGATCAGATCATGTAGAATTGGAATAGACTATCAACTGAGCCTCGTTCTTTAAATGGACGACTATCATTCAAATAGGTGTTAGTATAATTACCTTAATCCATATATGATGCGAGACCCTTAATTTGTATGGCAGTCCAAATTATACATTTATACATTGGAATGATGTTGAAAATTGTTATAACTGTGATCAAATTGACAAAAATGTGTCAATAAAATCCTTTTTGAGTAGGCCCATGTGAATCTCAGAGCTTGTATCAGACCTGAATTTTTATATATAATATAAATTTAATATAAATATAATTTATATGATTTCATAAACTGTTTAACACGACCTCTTTAGTATCCAAACGATAATGCATTTTATAACAACTTAGCATCTCTCGATTTACGATTTTCTAAAGCTAAGTTAGCTAAAGCATAGTAGATGCTTGCAGGCCTATGAGTCGAGCATCGCACTTGTGTAAAGAAATCGCTCTATGAACACAGATTATTGTATATTTCGTGTAATTATTACCTTGGTTATGCTTCTCAGTGTCTGAGGATGGCAAGCCCCATATTCTTCGCTGTCTTTCAGTCAGAAAGCGTATAATACCGTGGCGTTCCCAGGCAAGGCATCCGAGCACACCCGAATGTTTTTGAGGATAAATGTGCAACTAGTCCCGCTTTGAATATGCACTAACTGACCAAACGAATTAACATAATCGACTGGGGCGTTTGCATTAAGACCTGTTAGTTTCAGAATGCCCATAAATTCTTGGTAAATTCATATTGTCAATCTCGTGATTAGGGATAAAGAGATGTTTGTGAAAATGTGCTGATGAAATGGCAGTATCATGAGCATCATATAGCCTGACTCATCCCTCATCAGTACCATTACCGTAATAACTGATAGAGCGACGCACTACTGGCGGTGTCGCAAATCTCTGCTCCCTCATTCAACACTTCCAGGAGGCGTTATACCGTATACTGTATAAATATGTTTATACTGGCAGCTACAGTTGAGCCCGCACACTGATGCTTATCATTAGTGACTTTCAAATGGACTTTTTCAAAAGAACGAATATGTGACCCTGGACCACAAAATCAGTCATAAGATTTTTTATCTTATTTCAATGTATACATCTTCTGAAAGCTGAATAAATAAGCTTTCCATTGATGTATGCTTTGTTAGGATAGGACAATATTTGGACGAGATGCAACTATTTGAATATCTGGAATGTGAGGGTGCAAAAAAAATCAAAATATTGAGAAAATCGCCTTTAAACTTGTCCAAATGAAGTTCTTAGCAATGCATATTACTAATAAAAATTAAGTTTTGATATATTTACAGTAGGAAATTTACAAAATATTTTCATGGAAAATTATCTTTACTTAATATCCTAATGATTTTTGGCATAAAATACAAATCAATAATTTTGACCCAGACAGTGTATTGTTGGATATTGCTACAAATATACCACAGCGACTTAAGACTGGTTTTGTGCTCCAGGATCACATATGCCAGCTCTCATCACTGGCCTTAATTTTGAGCATTTTAATTCAAATTATTATTTTTGTATTTAAACATCAAATAGAGTCAACTAAATAGCCTACAGAACAAATGCATAAACCATAGTTTAAAATTGTATATAGACATTTATATAGACATTACGTATTGCAATTGTTAAACACAAACACAATAAATTAAAGAAACACGCACTGAAACAAATAAATGAAGCAAATCATAACATAAATCAAATTAAACTTAATCAAAGATTCAGCTGCTTATATTGAAATAAAATTGAAATAATTTTTAAATGCCACAAAACTCGGAGGAACTTTAACAAATCTCTATTTGTGTAAATAACACGATATAATCAAAATATTATTGTTAGACCAATCTGACTAGCGTAAACACTCCCAAGTTGTGCAGTTTTATGGGTACATTGGGAGGTGCTGCAAACTCCACTTTTGGTGATATTAAATAATCTTATATTAAATGTTTATGTTTCCACAAAGTTATCTAGTTATCTTTTTACAAATGTTACAAATGTAACAAACATTATCTTATAACAAATCAATCAGTCAGATGGGGCGTGGCTATGAGGCAATGTGTGTTAATGGGCGTGGCGTTCTTGGGTTCCATCATTCATCACTTCTGTACTTGATGAAGAAGCAGAGATCATCTGTGGCTTTTACCATTTGTGTTCTTTGAAGAAAAAACTTTAAAATACATTTTATTCATGTTTTTAATTTTTTAAATACATCCACTTTGTTTTCTTTCTCATGTGGAGCTAATGGGAAGGTAAAGCTAGTAAGGAGGACGAGCACAAAGTAACATGACAGCGGTTTGACCTAACTTTGAGCATTATATAAACATTTTAAGAGCGCGTGCCTCTCACAAACTGTAATCCTACAACAATGATCAATGGATAAGCTGTGAAACATAAGAGCACTCATGTGCTACAAACTGTACAAAAAGTAGGTCAGTGCGTTTATGATCGGGGTGTTTATTTGCTATTTTTTTTAAGTCGTCATGCAGAAAGAACATTTATTCAAAGTTCTAGTCATCGGAGACCTCGGAGTGGGAAAAACGTCGATAATCAAACGATACGTTCATCAGATATTTTCTCAACATTATCGCGCAACCATTGGAGTGGATTTTGCTCTTAAAGTCCTTCACTGGGACAGTCAGACGGTGATCCGGCTGCAGTTATGGGACATAGCAGGTACGTTCTCCTATTAAAATGTTTAATATTTAATGTATATGTTAAACATATCCCGCTGGCTTTGTTTTATTTTACTTTACAAGATGCTGAATTCATATTATTTAGTGCTAGTCCAAAGGCAATTAAAGTAACAAGATATATTAGGCAACATTTGTATAGTGTTGGTGGTCCATATAATATGATAAATCATTGTAAGTACGCTATTGCCTCTCTGAAATCTCCTCCTGCTGAGTTTCCTTGTGTGAATGTGAAGGAATGTGTCTTGTGTGTTAATCTCAGCTGGTCTCATACTCGTGCTAAAGTCACATGAGAGTTTGAGGTAAAGTCCATAAACACACACACACACACACAAACACAAACACACACAGACAGACAGACAGTGTAGATCAACACAGTGTTATAGTAGGATTTATTATTAAGAAAAACATTAAAAACATGATGCTATTTATGTCTGAGTGATGTTTAACCTCCTCTTTGCCATCCCACATTCGTCATAGGACAGGAGCGCTATGGGAACATGACACGGGTTTACTATCGGGAGGCCGTGGGAGCCCTCATAGTATTTGACGTGACCAGAGCCTCCACGTTTGACGCAGTGCTGAAATGGAAAGACGACCTGGACTTAAAGGTCACTCTCAGCAACGGCAAACCTGTCCCAGCTGTGCTTCTGGCCAACAAGTCTGACCAGTCACGTGAAGGTCTGCGTTCCCAGATTCCAAAGCTTGATACATTCTGCAAAGAGAATGGATTTGTGGGCTGGTTTGAGACCTCTGCAAAGGTGAGGGGTTTATTTTGTGACCCTGCGCAGGATGTAGATGTAGAGATACAGAATCAGGATCTGTGTATGTGTTTGTGTAGCTGTTTGCATGTTTGCATTTAACACAAATACAGCAAGAATGCATTGTGCTCATTAGCAGGAAGGCCATTGTTTACCATCTACAGCCCCACTTTAATGAGTTACACAGTTGTGTGTGAAAGGGTATAAAGTGGATCCTCAAATAAATGACATGACACCATACTGTCTGAAACATTTTAACTCTGGATCACCTTTATCACTTTATGACTGTGCTCTTTTTATATACTTTTCTTTTTAACTTTTTAATTCCACCAGGCAGTTTACAGCTGCCTCTATATATTTTGAACCATAATCTGGGGTAGAGTTGCATTAAATGTTACGCCATACAACTGTTGCATTCATCCTCGGGTAAATGTCACATGATCTGAGCTGTAGAGACAGTGCATTCTTTACATGCAGACTGGGCAAAAAAACGTGCATGTTATAGTATGAGTGGCAAATCCAATTATGTATGCATTAGAATAATATTTGACATGCAATTGAGAATTATGTGTGTGATAAAATTATTATAAATGATATACAAGTGTATGTGTTCAAAAGTTTGGGGTCAATAACATTTTTTATAAGGTATCTAATACTTTTATTCAGCAAGAATGCGTTAAATTAATCAAAAGTGACAGTAAAGATATAATCTTTCTAAAAAATATATATTTAAAATAAATGATGTTCTTTTGAATTTTTTTATTAATCAAAGAATCCTGAAAAATATATCATGGTGTGCACAAAAATATTAAGCAGCTCATCTGTTTTCAACATTGATACTCATAAGAAATGTTTCTTGAGCACCAAATCAGCCTCTGGAATGATTTGTAATATTAATATTAGAATGATGAATATTAGAACAGTTTCTGAAGGATCACGTGACACTGAAGACTAGAGTAATGATTCAGATGTGCCATCACAAGAACAAAATACATTTTTAAATGTATTAAAGGGGTCATATGATGCTTTTTTAAAGATCATTATTTTGTGTATTTGGTGTAACAGAATATGTTGACATGCTTTAATGTTCAAAAAACACATTATTTTTCAAATACTGTACATTATTGTAGGTCCTCTATGCCCCGCCTCTCTCAAACGCTTCGTTTTCTACAAAGCCCCCTCCTT